GAGAGAAGAAAGAGGCTTCTATCTATCTCTCTCAATAATCTATCTCCCTCGTTCTCCCAGCCCTTCGGCCCTACACACACATACCACATACACACACACACACACACACACACACACACACTCACCCGGTCACAGGGAGGCACGTAAAGCTGCCACCCGGTCGGCGCCAGCGCCATCTAGCGAGAGTAGGGGTTCTAGCAAGGGACCTAAGCGCGGGGTAGAGAGAGACGCGTTTCGAGCTAAGAATCGCCGAGAGTATTTCGGCACGTGGAGTGTTTCCGAAAAATAGGAGGAGGATGGGGAATCTAGAGGTGAAACCTTTTCCTTCTTGTACTCAGCAAAAGGTTTCTTTTGATTCTCACCAACGAAAATTTTCTGAGAACATTTTCTTTTATTTATCGGAATTGACTAAATGCGGCACTTTGGGAGATAATCATTCTTTGTGGGTTCCTTTTGTGAGAAATGAGCTGGGTCAGCCGCGGGACCTCAAGTGTCGCACCGGCCCTGCTGCACCCCGGCCGTTTGGCGCCCTCCGCGGCGCGGGTGAGAGGTCAGCGAAACTAATTAGTGACTCCCACAACCAAAGTCCACTTCAATCCGTTTATAAGTAACTTCCATTAGCTGCGCGGGGTTCGTCTAGAATACGGGTGAGGCAGGCCTTTTTTCCACCGCTTTTGCTTTATTTTCAAAATTAATGTAGGTGAGTAAATGGAGACCTTTCCAAGTGTATGAATTTGTATTCGCTCACCTACAAGTGTGTGAATATTTTGTCGCTCACCTACAACCGTGTAAATTTTTTTCACACACCCTGCTAGGTGTGAGACATTCGCACACTCGGATTTTTAGTGCAGCTTGACGTTGACACGTGTGTACTCAACCTAGACTTTCAGGTCAGTATCCTCTTATCCCTTATATTCTATTCATTATAAAACACATTATCTTACAGTCGTTGGACATTAACCATAAAAAATGGCGAGACGTCACATAGTCACATCATCATCATCACAGCATCAAGACCATAACGATGAGATGCAAACAGCTGAGCCTTCCCCCTGTCCCCCTCCCT